TCTCTTTGTCTTAGCCTTAGCCTTGTTATAAGACTGTAAAGGTGTCAATTTGTTTTAAACTACACAATTCTATGCAACAACTGTTTATCAAGTATAGTATTGTACTGCTGACATAATTATTACAAAATAATTTTAATGTGCCTTAAACACATAGACTGTGTGAATATGTGTGCCTGATTAGTGTTCACTTTGTGAAGAGAAGGATTCTGATTTCTCAGCATGTGGTAGTATTTTTTGTTTTCTTCATTTGAAACATTTTAATTTTTTTTATCCTTCATTCAACAGGCAGTATAAACATCATTTATGCAAATATAAGATAATTAATTCATCAATAATAATTATTTGTCCACATCAGGTCGTTGATATATTGGTAACCTTATGCACTAACTTATCTTTCATAGTTTCGTTTTAGTTTACTTTTGTAAATTGTTGTTACCTTAACACTAAGGGTGAAATATGTTCATCATTTTGGTGTATTAATATTTGTACATGAGATTGAACAGTTTTAGAGGAAGCAATACTCTAACCTATGATGAATAATGGTTCAATACTTTTGAACATGTAATTTGTAAATATATTCTACTTCAAAAAATAGCTGATATAGGATGAAGCTGGAAGACAGCTAGTGGGTGGTCAAACCAAAACTTGTCATAATTCCATGAAATATTTCACAGTTAGTTCGGACTACTCAGTGGGAAGTAGAATACCTGGTTGGGGTCTTTGGGATTCCAAGAACTACTAGCTGGAGACAATCGGTGGTATGGCTGGAGATTGTTCTGAATAGTGCCGATGCACTCACTCTTTGTGGTCACTCATACCCATTACATTCTATTGTTTCTTCATGTTACTACTATTGTAACAGCAGAAGGCAAGACACGCAAGCCTAGGTATATTTTCAAGTGATCAAACCGATATTTATATTATGTAACCAATCATTGACCATGTGATTTTGGCGCTTACATTAAAGGACATCAAATGGAATGTTCAAATACATTTAGTATTCTGTTGCTAATGTTGTATTGAACTGTGGGAATATGTGAGAATAATATTCCGTTGGAACACATTGTCTATTTCACACCACAAGGCTATTACTACTCTCTCCAGTGCATTTCTGTTCAATATGTATTTCTAAATCTCTTTTTTCTCTATTTCGTCTTCCTTTGTTTTCTTCATGGAGTGTGGCAACTCGAACTACTGCACTTCTGTGCAAAGTTCCATGCTGAAACCATTCACTCGGTCAGCCAAGTTAACAAACATTTTATAATTTATTTATTGGCTAGTATTAGTTTTGTTAATTTCACTAAGTCTGTCAAAAAGTATATATATATATATATATATATATGTTAGCCAAACCAACTGAAACAAATAATTTCTGTTGAATCAGACTGATATGCGATGTTCCTCAGGTAGAGAAAAAGGTTGAAAAATTGGAATTCTGTTAAAACAAAGGACAAGGACTTACTGCAATTTCAGAAACTGGCAGATGTTGAAGAGTAAAAAACTTCAAACCAGTATAGTAGAGTTTGAAACCCATTACCTACGTTTTTTCCTAAAAAAATGTGGAAGTATTAATCAAACCATCAGTATGTCTTGAATCCCCAATGAACTTGTCTGCAAACTAAAGTAAATTTATAATAAAGGTTTTTTGTATTTCCCAATGAATGAAAAACAAAACGATATTGTTTTTACTGACGTTTCGCTATTTAATGCTAATAGCTTTCTCAAAGTATTATTAAACCGGAATTTACGAAATCTCAGCATATATATAACAAAGAGTTAGGGGTGAGAAAAAATATAGACTTACTTCAACTTAAAAGGACATATTGAAAGTCAAAATAACAATGAAGATCGTTCAAACCAAATATCGAAGGTAATAGTATATCAGTTATTATATCAAAACAAAGTTTACTAACTTGATCATCGTTCGTTAGTCTGGGGTCATTTTGGTTGTTAAGTTGGCGAATTGGTAAAGATAACAAAATCAAGTGTAGATTGTTGAATTTTATCGGTGTGTAGAATTATGAAAGTAGTGTGTGTTTACATAGTGAACTTGCTTATCACATTTGTGTTGATTTTACTACTTCATGGGGGAAGGGAATGTTGTAGCCAGGTCAGATTCTGTTTCAGTCCATCATTCCTATTCAGGCAATTTGGATTCCACTTGATATGAAGTGATTCTGATATTAGACGTTCTTTGTGGTTTCTGAAGTTTTTCTGGATTATTTCAATATTGTCAAAATCAATTTTGTGGCCTGATTCTATAGCATGTAGACCTATGGCTGATGATTTTTGAAGTTTTTCTAGTTCACTTGGATTTCTTGGTGGTCGAAGAGATGCTCTACGGTGTTCATTTCTTCTGATTTTGATTTCTCGAGATGTTTGTTCGATGTAGATCGCATCACATTCCAAGCATTTTATTTTATAGACACAATAAGGTAGAGAATCTTTAGGGATTTGGTCTTTTATATGGACAAGGTTGCTTCGCAGTGTGTCTGATGTTTTGAAGAAAACTCTAATATCTAGCTGATTGAGTACTCTCCTGATATCGTCTGACGTCTCTGCTCTTTATGGAATGACGACTGTTGATGTTCATGTTTTCGGAATGCGTTTTCGGTCATACTTAGTGTCTGTGTTGATTTTGTTGATGAAGTTCCTTGGGTAGTTGCTTTGCTTGAGAGTTCCAGTAATGTTTGATATTTCTTCTTCTTTTTCTTTCTCATCCATTATCAGAGAGTATGCTCGTCTAAGAAGACTTGAAACAACTGAAATCTTTGCACTGATGGGGTGTGATGATTTGAAGTCTAAATATTTATTGGAGTGGGTTTTCTTCCTGAATATGGATATACTTAAATGTCCGTTTTCCTTTCTCTTAACTAGGCAGTCTAGAAATGGTAGTTCACCGATGTCTGATTCTGCTTCCGAAGTGAACTGGATTTTGGGAGATACACATTTCATTTTCTCCAGGAATGAATTGTGTAGATCTCGCTTTAGTACTACAAAAGTATCATCCACATATCTTAACCATATTTTAGGAGTGAGTATACTTGGAAAGATATTATTTTCGAACTTATTGATGTAAAGATCGGCGACTATTGGGGAGACTGGTGAACCCATAGCAACACCATTTGTCTGTCTATATAAACTCCCCTTAAATGTAAAATAATTACTTTCTAGACAGAATTTTAAGCTCTTAATTATTTCACTGGTGTCCAGTGGACATCTTTGTGATAGTGTTGTATCTAATTCTAGTAGACTGGAAATGATATCAAGACTTTCGGTAATAGTTTTGTTTTTGTAGAAAGACCATTTAGAGGAAAAAAGTTTGTCTTGTTATACATCTCTCTGTTTAACATGTTTGTGTGTGTCATTCTCTTCAAAGTCGTGAATACTTATATCTTTCACTTGCTCAGGATTTTCACTCCTCATTCACTGTATTCTTATTTGGTTAACTTGTTATTTACTTATCTGTTTGTACTTCTCAGTAATTTAAATGTTGCGTAAAACATTGTCACATAACAGTTGACAGCCTTTCATTGAATTTCAAGGGTAAGCAATCAGTTAAACGGAATAATTCCCTATTTAACTGAATTTTAGATTTTCCCGTCGATTGGTTAGACTGAAATGCTCGGTCTCAGGTTGACATGTCGGCTTCTTGTGCGGATGCTTTGACGATGTCTGGGCATGTAATTAGAGGTTAATTGTTGAATGATGACTAGCAGTGGAATCCGCAATGCGCATTTCGTTCTATCTGGGAGTCGTTATCTGGATGTACCTGCATTCCCAGTGAGTGACGGGGATATCTAAAATTCAATTAAATGATTAATATAACGCGTCGAACAAAAGAGGTGGCCTTCGTTGCCCGAGTTTTCTAATGGGTAATACTTTGGAGTTTGAAACTATGAGCACTGGGTTCGAGCTTGGGTGGGAAAATCATTACTGACTGCAGATTGCAGGTACATCCAGATGACGAGTCTCAAACAGGACGTAATGCGCATTCTGAATTCCACTGCTAGTCATCATCCACCAATTAACCTCTAAGAATAATTCTCTCAGGTTCATCATCGTATTTCCGAACATCATCCAACATGGTTAAGCAAGGGACAAACAAGATCTATTCGTAGCTCTATTTTAGCACACCTTGTAGATAGTGAGCTTAAGGTGGACGTTAATACTGCATTTAAAATTATTTATCGCATTCCGACTAATCTTAATTTTGCTCTACGAGTTCGTCTTCTACAGACAGCTGAAGCGATAGGAATCCACCTGAAGAAGCCAAGCCTATGTGTTCAGAAGAAATTTGTACAGCCACTTTCCTTACCCTGACCATCGTTACATGAATGCATAAACAGAACTGCTTCGCCCCTCTCCCCTAAACCTTTAAAAATTGTAAAAATTATAATTGTCCAAATTATTTTATTCTTTATTTATTTTGACCTCTTCATCTTTAGTTACGTGTTATCCTTGTAAAATTAATTTATTCCAACCATTTCTGCCTTTTAAATGTGTGTATTGATTTTCTTCGTTAATTATCACCCCATTGACATTTTGACACTGTTTAATTATTGTTAACAAACATATCAGTGCCACTTGATTGGTAAACTGTTGTGTATTGTAATAAAAATGCTATACCTGTGTATTAGAGTAGAGCCAGAGATGAGGATCTAATTGAAAAGTAAATATTTCTTCACTCAATCTTTCTGTTTTTTAAATTATTTGTATTGTTATTTAGGAAAACAACTTAAAATTTATGTCCGTCGACACGTAGATTTCTATGCATCGTGTCAATGGAAGATTAAAATGAGGACCTAAAATAGACAAACCATTTTATTTGTAGAATTTACTACTTGAATGAAGTTACAGCTTATGTGTGTAAATATTATTTACCATAGTTCTGTTAACTAAATAACACTAAATTCAGTCATCTATTAGCAGTTTAGTTTTTTATAAAAACTTTTCGCCCTGAGTTTTCCCATTATTGTTATTATTATTATTTTCTTTAGTGATCAGAATACACCGTTACCTTTGGAGTTGCCAATGACTCAGGCTGTACAAACAGCTATCATTCCAACACGTGCTGATATTGATCCAGATATATTTTCTACAATGACTTCTTTACAATGCTTTCGTGATCAAGAAAGATTAGTGGAAGAATTATTATCTCCAGTGTAAGTGTGCATACATTTGCTATTTTTTTTAAAATACTCTTATTATTTTATTTAGTCAGTATATAATTCTCACCTCATTTTATACTGTAATAATAACTATCTACTGTGTTTTCAAATGGCTTACAGTGATGATAGGATAATAGAAATCCGGTAGATACAATTGCCTTAAGGCATTTATTTGTCGAATTTATTTTCACAAAAATTCACTTTCTTCATTCTTTTTGCATCTTTATAATCTCATGGGAATTATTGTAATTAATTAATTCCCATAAATATTTTTTAAATCATAATTGGTTATTTCTTCTTTTTCGCTTGAAATTAGTTATCAGCCATTTTCGCTTCTTTATCTTTCCGAAGAAAAAGCCTATACATCTCTGCGAACAGGCATCAATATTGTTCATGTCATTCATTATTTAGTCTATAACTTGCCGATTGCCTTCAACCATCTAATACCATCAAATCAATGTGCACTGTGATGGCGAGCTAGCTAGAATGGTGGTGGTCACATTACAACCTGACTGGTAGAATTCAGTCTACACCAATCAGAGGACTAGACGCATCACACTAGTTACTGGTGTCAAATCAAAATATATCCACTACAGTCCTACAGGAGGTCAATCGCGAGACAGCCCGAATAGCTCAGTGGTAACGTCTCTGACTGCAGAACTCACTGGGTAACGCAGGTTCGAATCTCAGAGGGGACATGAGTTCCTTCAAGCTGGTCGCAGATACACCTTGCTGACTGGTGAGTGCCAACTAGCACGAAACCTAGGTCAGGCAGGGCTTCCTGTGGCCGATTGCCTCCAACCATCTAATACCATCAAATCAATGTGCACCGTGATGGTCAGCTAGCTAGAATGGTGGTGGTTACATTACAACCTGACTGATAGAATTCAGTCTACACTAATCACAAAACTAGACACATCACACCAGTTACTAGTTTCAAATCAAAAGTCTATAACTTCAGTTTTCTCCTTCTGTTTTTCTATATAAGGTCATTGATATTTTTTTTATTGAAACTGACTGCATATTTATTAGAAGCTACTAGTTAAGTGGTGACTTCGAGTAAAATCAAGCATATGCACCACGGCTTATTCAGGGACTATCCAATTGAAAGTTGCTTCATTTCACCAAGTGAGATTGCATTTTTTTTCATTGAAATTAAAAGTGTCAGACAGTTGTCAAGTGAGATACTGAAATAACTAGCATCCCACTGTTAGCCATCATCAAATAAACAAATTCAAGTTAAAAATTGAAAAAATAATAAGGGTAGGTATCCTTTCAGACAGTCAAAAATGCGCCTGTCATTTCGATTTAGAACGAAACAGTGTGAAAGCTGATTGATGTTTGTTGACCAATGATGTCGTGTGAACGAAGTTAAAACTTTTAAGCTACTTATATGCTTCCAAATGCAATTTGTCTTCGAATAAAAGCTTAATGATACCATTGTAACGGTAGAAGTTGAAATACTTAGTAAAGGAATAGTATCTCTGTATAGCTAAATTATGTACACCTTGTCTTCAAATCACGATTTGCACAGATCTTCCGTATGGTAGAGAAGATTTGTAGCACAGGTGGATGATTTCGATGCGGTTGTGTTCTCTGAGCTGGATAGTTGATTTGCGAAGCTTTCATCATCCTACTAGGTGACATCTTCAGCGCATACTTCAATTTCTTGAAGTGAGCTTTTAGATTTCTCCACGAGTTTATTAATCATCTCTCCTGGTGACCTTGGACGTGATTGGTTGTTTTTGTGTGTTTTCATACCTTCTAGGTTACCTGTATTGGAACTGATTGTTTCTTTGGCTTGAACTTTGACCCTTTGTGTATGAAGTTTCTTTCTTATCGGTTGATAAATTTTGTCTATTTCTATGTGTCTATCAATTGATGATTCACTGGAACACTAGGCAGGCTTCCAAAAATTCTCTAGCATTCTTGTTGTTTCCTCTGTCTAATATTTGAACGTTGTCCCAGTCGAATTGGTGTCCGTGTCTGCCTGTATGTAGTGAAATGAGGGAGTGGATATCATGTCTTTTGACGGCTAGCTTATGTTCGTGGATACGAAGACGAAGGGGACGTCCACTTTGGCCAATGTAGTATTTTTCGCAGTTGTTACAATTTATTTTGTAGATGATGTTGGTTTTATCTTCTTTCGCCGTTGAGTCTTTTGGTTGACATAGAATTGAGTGCAATGACTTTGTTGGTTTGTGTACGACGTCAATTCCTAAAGGTTTGAAGAGTCTTGTAGTGATTTCTGAGATATCCTTTATATATGGCAAGGCGATTTTCTTTGTGCTTTCCTTGGGGGCTTTTGGTTTGATAGGTTGGCTTTGGGGTATATGTCTTTTGATAAAATTCCGTGGATGTCCATTCTTTTGGAAGACGTCCATGAGATACTTTTCTCTAATTTTCCTTAAGGTGGGAGTGCTGCAATGAGTTCTGACTGGCCCTCTTGAATAGTGTTTGAATACAGTTGTTTTTGTGTGTTATTGGATTGTTGGTGTCGTAATTCAGTATTTGGTCTGTGTGAGTTGATTTTCTATAAATTTGAGTTTCTAATTCCCCTGTTGTTGTTCGCTTGACTAAGACGTCCAAAAATGGTATTTTGTTCTCGGATTCCTCTTCTCTTGTGAATTTGATGTTGTTGAAGACGTTGTTTATTAAGTTGTGAGTTTTATCCAACTCGTTTCTTTTGATCTTCCGTGTTGTGCTACTTCTTGCCTTCATATTGCGTGTGTTTCTTTTTGTGTTTTTTTCACTACTCCAATGTATCTTTGCAACGCTGTATCATTCTCCTTCTCTGAAATCAAATGTATCTCCCTTTTATTTGATGCTTTTCTGCCAATGAATGTCTCTCTATATACTACTGATAAATCATATTAGTAGCACATCCCACACTATGAATAAAGTTAAAATATTTTGCGTAAAGCTGGAAAACAATCTACTTAAATTGTGAAAAATATCCATCAAGACATTAGAGAGGAAAGAACAAGTAGTTCAGCAGAGATAAACCATGGAAAGGATATCTTTGTTAAAGCTCTTGTTCCTTTCAGTCCATTCAAAACACAGTTGTCTTCATAGAATAAAAAAAAAATTAGACCCTGAATTCCTTCAACCACAAAATTACACTATGCAAACTATACTTTCGAACAATTAGTTTAAGAGGCACTAATAAATGTCTAAGCTTTTTTGTGTGAAAAGTTTATGAAATTGGGATATTTATAGGAGGTATATATCTGCTGGGTAATCTTTGGTTAATTATCATACAAGTAATTATAAAGGCATTAAAATTTGAAACTTTGATGCTACCTTCCCTTATCTGATCTGCTAAAAGGCAGTCAACTCATGACAGTAAATCTCTCGACTAATTTATGTTAATAATCAAGTGAGGCAGTGCATCACTGGTGGATTGGTAGGGTGCTCGCCAACTACTCGTGTGGTTCAAGGTTCGATAACCAGCTGACTCACTCCTAAACCTCGCTCAGTCTGCATTAAGTCCCGTAAAGAAGGAAGGTTGGGTGTGAGAGTGCAGCTGCACCACGTTAAAACAAAACTACTGCTACTGAGGCTTTGTGCGCCACTCAGAAAACAAAGAAACAAAAAAATGATGATCAACTACGGCAGGGATTTTACGTGTGTATCGCCAACATTCTGTAAAGTGTTTCCAGTGTCTAATATCAGACCAATTGTCATAATCTTTAACATTTAACTTTATTTACCTTATGTGTTCATTTATTTTTGGCCTGAAGTAATAAATTTCGGTATTATTCTATTTTTCTTTGTGTTCCATTTTTCTTTATTATATACACAATCTTTATAACCTTTAACTTGTTGCTGGCATATATATATATATATATATATATATATATATTCTGCGATAGTTAGAAAGATGGAATTATATTGACCGATGAAGTTTGATGGGAATTCTGAAGTAAAGCATATTTGCATCAACTTTCGCCTGTATGCATGTTGGGACAATGATTATTCCTTAATAAAATACTTTTGTATTACTTTGATAATTAGTTATTACTAGAGTTAGGCTATCTATGATAATTGTGTACAGTACTCTGATTTGATTACATAATGTTTTTTTATTGTAAATCTGTAATTATAAACTGTAGTATTTCTTGAATATATAAGAATAGAATTTAGCTATTGTGGTAGGGTATAACTCTATAACAGAATAATTTTATTTCATATAAAATACGTAGTTTCGTAACAACAGAAGACAAGGGCTATGCAACAGATCGTTTATTAAGGAAATAAACACATATTTATAGATTGTCATGTACATTATTATAGATTATTGTAAGCAAATAAAGACAGTCTTCTGATTGGTGGCTTCTCGCTGAACGTTAATCTTTCATCTCTTTGTGGCCGATTATTGAAGTTCAGGTTATCCATCTGCAAATTGTATCCACCTATGTAAAGTCTGCTCTGATTAGTTGTTGAGTCAGTCTTTGTTCTTATTTTTCTCATGACCAATATTGGGGACGTAAACATTGACGTAAATTACTGCTACCATTTAGGCAAGCAGCCAGCTCTCACCACAGTTTTATTTTTCATTCTGTGTTCTGAGTAGAATATAGGATTTCAGGCTTTGAAGTTTCAGTAGAGATGATGTTGCTAGCCTGACACGCTCAACGTTCCTTCTTTTCTAGCTTTATGATCGGCTTGTAAATTAGACGAGATTTAGGAGTGCATCGATGGGGAAGCTAAATGGGATTACATGGATGGTTGGCAAACAATCTCTACTATTGGACTACCGATACACTTTAATACATACTGATACGTTATTCTTTATTTACTGATGGCATTTTGAACACAATTTATTGCTCATATGTTGATATGATTATGAGCAGTAACAAAGATTTCTCACACAATGTGATGTATAGTAAGTGTGATTCAAAAGAGGTAAATAGTAGGTGGCATTATTAAAAATGTGCCTATAATGCAATGGAAAGAGAAAAAAAAATACATTTTCCATAGTTTGGTTTGTA